ATGCCATTTAAGATTTTTTTAATAACTAGTGCTCAAGATATGTCATAAAGATTGAGTAAAAATCTGCTGATTTGAATTACATACTCTTCTCTTTTTAGTATCTCAAGTCACCCACATAAAACACTTCATCAAGTTACATCTTCAAAACATGTTCTTGTAATGACACTACATTTTTTAAGTTTGGTGAGATTAAAATGCTTAGCCTATAACAGATATCATTACAGCATCAGCTGTACCAGAGAGTGTAGCCTAGTGCTGCAATTGCTCTTCATCTGTGCTGGTGTGTTTAGGTCAGACAACAAAAGGTAGAGTCCCTTTACCCCTCTTCCAAGGCAGCTAGTCAAAATCTGGTTTTCATCCCAATTATCAGGATTATTTGCTTTAGTCTTACTATGCAACAAGAGTTTTGTTTCAAAGCCATCATTCAAAACACTGAAATAAAAGTACATCTTTCCCTTGCACATGGTCAGAGATGATGCACCAGCAACACTCTGTAATTCCACAGCTGCAGATTTTCCCTAGAATTCATTTCTTACACCACAAATCCTGGTCTTTCACTAAGAAAAAAAATCATTATAAAGGACAAAAAAACCCACCAAAACATCTGTCACTTCTCTACAAGGAGCTTAAGCAATAAGCTCTGACAGGTGTGACTTGCTCTATTTATCTCAATCAAGGGCCCTCATAGGCTTCATTATTACACAGCTGTGTATTTTGTCTTTTTTCCAAGATGCTGGAATTTGTTATTTTCCAGCAGGATTTAAAAAAAAAAAAAAAAGCAAAAGAGCCATTCTGAAGCAGTAGACTCCTGCACCTTGCTTTGCCTGCTTGCCTTAGCACATCATGCAGGACAGAGCTGTTAGCAGGATGATGGTCCTGCCTGGACAAACACAGCAGCTGAGCAAGGAAGATAAGCAAATATTTCAAGGCTTTCTGCTTCCCTGGCACAAAACTAAAAGAATGAGGTGCTTCTCACTGTTACCTGGGCAGGTAGCTGTAGAGCAAGAGACTATTGAAATCACCTCATCTAAGCTGCGTATAACTGCACCAGAGGTAGCTTGCAGCAGAGAGCCACGGTCAGAAAAGCCATTCTTCTACTCTTTATGGACAGGATGATGCAAAACTCTGTGCTAAAGTAGTAACTTTTAGCAATCTGTTGGTAAGCAATATGATTAGTCAGGATTCTTCGCTCTGGGTCTGGATAGGGAAGGGGAAGCTCCAACAGATGTTAGGCCAGATAGTCATGGTTTGTTGGGTTTTTTGGTTTGGTTAGGGTTTTTTGTTCTCTGAAATGAGAACCCAGAGTAGCCCATGAGATGTTCAGCTCCTTATTCTTCAGAGAAAAAAACTTCAAATGTAATTGAAGTGTCTCTGAAATAAAGTTACATCAAAACAGAGATGAAAGCAGCATAAAGTGTGTATAAAAATATGATGTTCAGAAATATTGGCTAGCTTACCTATTTATGTATTTATTTAGCATGTTGCTTTCCCTGGCAGCTCTGACTTTCACAGCTAACAAACACCAAGGTGAAACTCTCCCCAGTGAGGCAGAGAGCCCTGTAACCTCTGATCCCTTCTGAGACACTGGAGTAAGGCACAGCCACACTGTGTCTGAGCAGCAGTGCAGCCTTATCTATAATGCACTGACTCTATTTATCACTCAGAACACTGAAAGAATTGTCTCAGTTTTTTAAGACACTATTTATAAGCATGCCATGACACTTGATCTCTAAGAGCATCTTTTCGTGTCCCATATAATTTTACATATTACATCATAGTGAGAATTGTAGAAGCTATTCAGAGATCATATTTACTTAATTTGTTGATTTTAAGGTTTTTTGAGGCAGAACCAAAGCTATTGCCTACTTGATTTTTAGCAGGAAAATTCAAGATTGCATTCAAGACTAAATTACTTGGAACCTTCCATTAATAATTCAAGTAGTCTTAATAAAATGTTAAAGCACATTAAAATAATTTCATGCTGATTTGAATTTTTTAACAACACTTCAGAATTAATTTAACTTTTCCTTAGTTCTAGTCTCTACTTTCTTATCAATAACATCAATACAGTGGGGGTTTGTTGGTTTATAGGGTGGTGTTATGGGTAATGACTACAACAGTAGGAAGTTTTAGTAAAGCCAGAAGGCAGACAGAAAAGAATGTGACCTGATGGGATACAGAAGGTTTGTAGCAGCTGGGAGGTAAGCTGGGTAAGAGCAGTTGTCAAAAAAAACAGCAATAAGATCAGAGAAACAGCTGTTCAAGTGCAGAGACAGGAAATAGCACTTGCAACCATGAAACCTGAATAGGGAAAGCTCAACACACAGAGATTACAGATTTTTCCAAGACTGGAAAGTCAGGAAAGAGAAGGAACAAATCTGGTGAGAAAAGGAGAGAATATAGATGAGGCAGAATGATAAAGAATTCAGATCCAATGGGGAATGTTTTAAGATTCAGTAACTGCTAAAAGCTTCTGATCATAATAAGAGATGTTGGTACCTGGACCATTTGCTTAACAGAACTATGCTATTATTCTACTTTGCAGGAGTTAAATGAAAGAAAAGCTACAGCATCCTGGGGGTACATATACTTCCAGATGCTTCCTTTACTTCTGAAGAAAGCTGTTCTATTTGCCAAAAACTTTTCTAAGGGTTGAAAACCACTTAGACACAGAGTTTGAAAAATTAAAAAAGGATGACAGCAGTAGACACTAAAATAAAATCTCTAGTCAATAGATGCAATATATTCTACAGCCTCTATTTGTTGGTTGTTTATTTAAGAAGAGCAGTCACAAAACAATTCCAGTCAAATGTAAGAATTACTGTTTGTCCAAATTTATACCATAATTAAAGCAGAATTCCAACTGCTATAACATTGTCTTCAGTTAGCATCAAAACCTCCAGTGTGGAATGTCAGTTGGAGAAGCTCATCAATAATGGACAGCAATACTGAACAATAAGTTCAGATGACAAGTTAAATTAAATATATAGAACCAGCTACTATTTCAGCATTCTTCAGAAATATTAATTTTGTTAATCACTTGTATTTATAGCAGTGTCAATAGCCACATTTCTACTCTAAATCCACCCTTCAGCTTGATGAGGAAAAGAAATAGTGCTCAAATATAACTATGGGAAATGGAGTTCTGATTATTTCCATTGCTTTCTTTTGGACTTTTTTCCAAGGAAATTTTCCCACTTCTTCCTGACATCCCAAATGGGAAGGTGTGCAGCTGAAGTGTTATCAGCCCTGTTTAGAATGTCTTTTTTTACTTGATTTATTAATATTATTCCTATTATAAATCAGTATGGTATCTGTCTCCACCCTCAATCCTTGTTCAGCTTGTGATCTGCAGCACAGTACACATAGATTACTCCAACAGCATTACCTACTCTTGCATTTCTATTACTGACCCTTCCCACTTAAAAGAAAAAGTCAGCATTTTCCCTTGCTGAGTTCCACTCCAGTTTGACTAGAGGTCACTGATGATACACTCTATGTACCATTTTGCAAACAATTACACACTTTCTTGACAGTGTATCTAGTCTAAATCTGACTACCTTGCTTATGAGAGAGTGCTGCATCAGAATCCCAAAAATACTTAGATATGACAACTGCTGCTTCTCCCTTAACCTCAAGGCCTGGTATACTACAGAAGGAAATTTTTATGAATCTACTGACTCCAGTTCTGTCAGGAAAAAAATCATCTGAGAGTCATGAATGTGCTATCAGTTCACACCATTGGTTATGTCGCAATCACTTCCATGAGTGCACAGAATCTAAGCTGACAGCAATAAGAGGAAGAACATCACAGTGTTACCAGACACAGCCTGTAACATGCAAATATTATTTGAATGATGCTTTGAAACAGGAATTCCCTCTTATACTGAAGTGCAGGGAAGGCAACTTTGCCAATCTTTCTGACACATAAAACTCTACTTTTGCAGTCCCTTGGTCATCTGAGAGTTAAAGCATGAATAACTGCAAAAGGAAAAGAGCTGCCAGTTTGTTGAATGATTTAATGAATGTGTGGTAAGACATCCCTGTGTAAGTTTAGACCATTTTTAAGTCATTGAGAAAAAGTGTTTTCTTTGTGTATGAACACAGTTAAGGAAAGCAGCAAAAAGATGATTACAGAACTCATTTTCTTGGGAACTGGATGATTAATTATAAAGTTATTGCACACACTGAAATGTGCATCTAAAGTATCTGTTCTGCCACCACTGCAGTATCACACAGTGTGATTTTAATTACCAATCACCTCTGTCCCATAAACCTACCTCCTCTGGCACGAAGGACAAGAAGCATTGCAGAGCAGACTTTGCCTCTACCTTAACAGAGTACAAATAAGGTTTCGAGGAACAGCACTCGATCACTGCCAAACAGAATTCAGAATCAGATGTTACTGCAGGAAATGTCAACTTTGGAATAATTTCAGTACTTCAAAGTGATTCCCAACATGAAGTATCTGCATATTTGTATGGCAAACATTTCTCACAACGTTACAGAGGAATATAGCATCTCTCATAAAGATTCTGGAGGTATCAACCACCAGAAACTTTTCATAACTGTTATTAATTTGGGAGAACACAATATTTCAGCAAATAAATCACCCACATTCATTTACCTTTATATAATAAAATAAAAGTATTAGGCAAAAACAGTTAGCTACAAAATGAAAACTATATCACAGGGAGAAAAATGGTTGACTGAAATTAGGGTTTTTTTAATTACTTTTAAGCATAATCTACACTACAAAGGGTTGCCAGGAAGGCTTGCTTCACTTTTCAGACTTTCATGTCCAATTTTTTGGTAAACATCATTTTGCAGGCAAACCAAAATGCCTCCTCCTGATTTATAACAAGCAACACTTCTAAATTAATTTCTTTAGGTTATCTTATATCAGAAAATTTGCATTCTGAAAATAGTCTGACAGATTTTTCTCTTAGCATTATCCCTTCTTTTTTTAATGACAAGTCTGATATAGCAAAAGCAAATACCTGAATGGTTATTGCTAGTCAATTTAAAATCCTTATACTTAGAAAAATCAAACTCCACTCTGGTACAAGCTTGTCCTTTGTTCTGCAGCATAAATGGAATTGATTTTGTAGCCCCAACATAAACACCATCAAAGTTCAATAGTTCCTGTAAGTTTAAAGAAAAAAAAAATGCATCAAAGCACTGTGAAGTCAATTTTAGAATTGAACATAATGTGTGCAATAATCACGAATTATAACACAATACCAGTATTGGTTAATCAATAGTCTTGCATATCCCTTACCATTAAAACCTTTCCAGAACATAAAACACAAGAGTTTAGAATTCAATATTAAGTCCAGTCACACCATCAGAAAAGTTTTCATCATTCAGTAAACAGATCAGTGGATTACATTTCCCCTTATTGCATTTTTTTGCTATAACTACCTTAAGAAACTCTCTCCTTTTATCATACTTATTCCAGATTGTCCAATTCAAAAGCTCAAGCTGTCAGCCAGCATTTAGTGAACTGCTATGTGTACATTTAGTTTTTAATCTCTTCCTAAGTTATTCTCTCTGATATGTTTCTCAGGAAGTCAGTATAGGAAAACATGAAAAAACTGAAGTAAGGAGGAGCCACTTTGACATCTAAGAAACTCTCTCCTTTTATCATACTTATTCCAGATTGTCCAATTCAAAAGCTCAAGCTGTCAGCCAGCATTTAGTGAACTGCTATGTGTACATTTAGTTTTTAATCTCTTCCTAAGTTATTCTCTCTGATATGTTTCTCAGGAAGTCAGTATAGGAAAACATGAAAAAACTGAAGTAAGGAGGAGCCACTTTGACATCTAGATATAGCAAATAGTCACTCTTTCTTTCCAAAGGCTACAGTGTCTTCATACTTACCACATCAATGTTGATTTCAGGCACCTCTACAAACCCATTGATCCTCAGCGCTAGGACTCCTGCGTCTCGCACTGCTACCTAAGGGAATGGACGACACTCTGTTTGTTAACAAGGTCATTTCAGCATCACTGTCTCACCAAATCTGTCAGAATTACATGAAGAAAAGTTATACACAAACAGACAAACTCTATACCACAGATACAGAGTGGAGAGAGACATTCAGTATAAATTATAATGAAAATATGAAAATAACCCTGACCTTATAATATAAATCACAGATTAGCTTCAACATCCTGCCAGAGGTATAATATAAATCAGATCAAACTGAGAGTCTGTTCTGATATTTTTAGCAGGACTGAGATGAAATAACAGCATGGCTTATAGCAGTCATCCTAAAAAGCATGAGAACATTGGAGATAGAATTCCAAAAGTTGTGCAAATGTACACACAAACACACAACATCACACTCAAAACATAAATTTCTTCCCGTTTTGCATACCTCCACTGTTACATCAAAACTCATTTTTGCATTTGGAGTGAAAGAGATTAGGAGCTCAGCACAGCCTCCCACAGGCACAACTCCTTCAGAGGGGGAGATTGTCATTCCAGGCAGAGGGTTTGAATCCAGAACCTTCACAAGCACAAACAGAAACACACTGAACAACCTGTCTGGGGTCACTTGATTTGGTTGGTGTTGTTTTGTTTATACCAATACATCTACCATAGAGACTTTATATTCTTACAAGGAGAACCTTCATAGTACATACTGCTACCTTGGACTTAGAAGTTTGGAGAAAAATACAGGTAAACAAAATAAAATAACAGATTTCTAAATGTGACTGTCAGTTTCTATTATGAAATAATTTTTCTCCCCCAGTTTGAAACTTCACATTCTGGTTTACAGGTTGTTTTCATTAAGTTATTAAAATTAAGGCTTGCTATCTAGTGCGTCTTCAAAATATTCTACAAAGCATTTTTTCAGTGACAAATTCATCACTTCTTATTTGACATTCCCAGTAAGAGATGGGACACAGAAACCTAATAGTGTATAGCTCAGTAATAATACTAGGAGTAAATATTCAGTTGACCCACAGTTAGAAAAGAGAAAATAGAATTTGTTCTCTTGTAATGCACACCAAACAGGTAAATTTTTGAAGTACAGCTACACAGGTAATAAAGACCAAGAGTAATTGTGGCTGGGTATGTTTGTTTGTCTTACTGACTATGCTGATTTTATTCTTTCAGGCTCATCCTCCACATATGTAGTAATAATACTGGCTATTCAGTGCTCACTCGATAAACGGAGAAATATGGTACAAATCAAAATAAATTAATTATGTTTCTTAGTCCCATAATATTGCAATAACAAAAACTCAGAAGGTTTTAATGCAAATTATTTTGCTCAACTAAATAAATACAGCAATTATCCTGTGATCAGGAGATCTAATGAGCTTGCTTCTTCAGAAAACCTGGCAAAAAGACTTTAGTAGGTATTTAATAACTGAGAACTCCAAACCACAAAGTGATCTGATAAAATTAACTCTCTCCTGCTCCCCACCCCAAGGAATGAAGCGTGCCAGAAATCATTTCAGCTTACTTGGAAGTATGCATGGTTGTGCCCTGTGTTTTGGAGAATGGCTGGCTTACAAGTAGACAAACACATTGGACTATGAATGAAGGCTATCCTTTGATCCAGAAACCGAACTTTAGTAGCACCAAACTGTTGCAAAAATAAAAAATAAAACAAGTAAACAACATAACATATTCCTAAGAACAAATAAATATTTGGCCTATTTTCTCATTACATAATGAGCTAATATACTTGGGAAGAGGCATAAATTGGAAGTATTCAAATAGACAAACACAGTCTAAATGTGAGATGAGATTTATTCAATGCACTGAACTTAGCTAGATTCAAATTGAACAGACACAGTCCCACAGATATTTCTGGACTAATTTCAAAACAAATAAAAATATTTTAATTACATTTCATTGAACAGCACAAGCTCCATTAATTCCAAATGTGTGATCAGGACAAGATACTTCAGAGATATCATTAGCAGCAGAAATGTCAATATTCTAATTTACACACATCCCAGTTTACATATGACAATTTCAAAAGAAGAGGAAGAAAAGAAAAAAGCTACTGGAGAAAAAAAAAATAAGAAAAAAGCAGGCACATCAAAAGGAAGAACATTAATTACCACACTATATATAAGGATCACTAAGCTGTGGCATTAACAGAAGTATAGCACTGAAAGCAAGAAAAAAGGCAAATTGTCTTTGCTTTGCATTCTCCATCATGTGTTTGGAGCATGTTCTTTTGTTAAGCAAGTCAAATAGAAGCCACGTGAAAATAAAATATTTTAAATACCTGATAATAGAAATATGTTTAAGGAATTACTTGTTTAAAAAGAAAACATACATTTTTCTTCTCTAAAGCTGCTGTACGAATTGTTACCTTTGCAAAACATTTCAACTTATTTTCCTTTCCTTTGTGCACACACAGGTTGAATTCTCCTGCTCCTGGGGAGTTGAACCCTGGATGCCAAACCACTTCACACTCCAGATCTCTAAAGGCCTCCACAAGTCCTAAATATTGTATAATTAGAAGTAACACAAGTACATTAAAGTGAAATGACCTACTACTGAAGATTAACCTACATTTCTCAGGTGCTGAACAGTATGATGACCTAAGTAAAATTAGGCTCTGAATTCTCATGTCAGTTGTTTAATCTGTTTATTAGTATCCTGCAGTAAAACACACTCAAAGTTCAGTGATATTTTTTAGTCACTAGTTACTCTAATAGCCAACATTAAAAACAAAAATAAAAGAACATATTCTCCTTCTTGTAGAATAACAGGTTTGGGAAAGAGCATATACATTTTCTTGCTTGCAACTGAGTCTGAAGTTGCATTAGCAGAACCAGAGCACACCAAGCTCCTAATCCACTCAAATCTTGTTTAACTATGGAATGCCAGTTCAGTTAGCAGTTAGTTCTTTAATAATGGAGCTTCAACATACTCCTGCAGATCACTATTTTTCAAAAGAAAGCAGGCAAAATCCAGTGTCTCACACACTTCTAACATATGGATCCATAATGCAAATGCACACTAAGCCCAGATTGAGACCCAATGTCTTACTCAGCCTGTTTACATCCATTTAGCAGCTTCATTTGTACAGTGCTTTTGGAAAATTTCCTATCCTGCTGAGCTGGATGATATTGCTAAGTGCCATGAAATAGCTGCCTCACTTTTGAAATATCAGCAATCTGTGCTGAGAAAAATGGTTACATGAGCACTGCTGGCTGGACATGGGAGGAGAGACTGGACTGAGCATGCACTCAGGGTAGGGCTTGGACAGGGAGTGCTGCTGCAGTACTGATGCTATGATACTACTTTTTGGGCCACACTGATCTAAAATCTACACCCAAAATCTACACCCAAATCTAAAAATACAGTTTATAGTATCAACTAAATGTTTGCCTTATTTAATGCTGTCAACATTTAAGACACAAGCACACAGACTGTATTTGTGTAGTGTACCTTTGGCTGGCCTTATAGAGAATGCAGATTCTCTACGTGCAGGTTTCCAAGTAAACTGAGCAGGATGGTTTCTGGGATTGTATAGCGTAACAGTTGTCCTAAACTCTGTCTCTGCCAGGTAGCCAGGAACAGGAGGTACCATCAGTTCCCTTGCAGATAGCTCCAGTTCAACAGGCACTGCTTTTGCAACTACCAGCACATGCCGAAGGTGTTGGCTGTTTATTTTGTAAGTGAAAGACCTGTAACATAAAATAATATATTTCTCAATATTTGTATGCATTTATTATATTGTAGTCAGAGTAGGATTTATGTGAAAAGTAACCATTAGCAAGAAAACACTGAACAAAACAGTTGAGTGTGAACATGTAGTTAACATTGACAAGAGAAAGAAAATTGCAATTGTTTTCCATACTAGTTAAATCCTGTCAAAAGTGAAGAGCATCCCAAAGGATGATCAACCTCATACAGTTATTTTAGCAACATTAGTAAAGTGAGAGTTCATACCAGAAGGCTAGAAAACAGTTTGCCTATACATTTTACCATGAGCTGCATCAAAATATCTGAGCATAGATGCAGTGATCTAAAACTGTGCTGGGAAGAGCACAGAACTTTTCCTAAAACTTCTAACAGATAGACCATAATAGCAAACTTTTTTCCCATGGTATAGCTGTAGGGACAGGGTTTTGGTTGGTTGGTTGTTGCTTTTAAAAAGAACAAACTAAGAAACATCACTGCACTAAGAAAATTTTGCAACATGAAACTGCATTAATTATTGCAATGTCACCATAAATGAGTGTGCACCATTACAATTTAGCATGATTACACTTTGTTTAAACTAGCCAGGGGATTTTTTTGTTCTACTACAGCCAAGAAAATGTGTAAATCCAGAGAAATATAAGAAGCCTTACCTTTTAAACATTCCAGGAGTGTTTGTCTCAAATACAATTTCAATGTGAGTCTTTGTAAGAGGAGGTACCACCTGAGATATTGGACATGTATTCTGCAATTCCTCAATTTCCATCTCAATTTCTACCCATATATGAACTGACAAGTTATTGATGATGTGCAGTTGTTTAGCTGTTGTGGAGTTCACACAAACTTCACCAAAATCTATAGTAGAAGGACCTAAAACATATGAGAAATACAATCTTCAACATTAAAAAAGCAAAAGTTACGTAAGGAAACATAACTACTGACACACATATTTCCATTCCTCAAATTAAAAAATTAGTCAGCTACAACAATCCTATAGCAGAACAAACTCTCACTAAAATTTGGAAGCAAATACCATGCATTTCTGTGCATGTTTTCAGTAGTACAGCTCAAAGCCCAGGACCAACCTTTATCTCTGAATTGTGCTTGGTTTAACCAGCTATTAAGATAGGAAAGGCAATGTGCTGATTACTAAAGGTACTACTAATAACCATAAGTCCTTCTTTTTGTTAGGTAGATATCTAAATGGACAAACAACCAGCAATTCACTAAGGGTTTATGTATGTAAACCCAAGATTGCTCCCTGATGTGTGAGTTATTTGGTTAGTAACTCATGCCATTTGATGGTCACAGAATTATCTCATTACTTAATTTACTGCTATCACTACTTTTTGTGGTGATCTGCAAACTTTAGCATTCATGGCACTCATCAAACATCCTACAAAACTCTCAGTACTTTTTCTTTGCTTTATTCTACCTTTCCACAAGTATATCAGTACACACAGCTACAGTAATGAAGTTCTGTCGTGACTGAAAACAAAAAAAGCCCAGAAAGTACTGAAAATTTTCATTTTGCTGCTAAACAATTTTACTGAAGAAAAGCTGATCTTAAAATAGTCCTATGGTAGAACCAAGTGTTGTTGACAGAGGAGTCCCTCACAGGCTTTAGAAGGTGTTACTCCCCATCACAGAGCATCCCACTGAAATTATTTTGAAGGAGGATCCAGAAATTTACTTTTTAGGTGTATCAGTGTTTCCTTTTAATTACCAGGACCATTCTCAGCACTCCCATGAATCTTGCTGCAATTAATAGTGGTCCAGATACTAACCAATAACAAGGCATAAGGGTGTGAGCAACTCTCATACTTTGCTGTATTGATTTCTCTGTAATACACATGCACAGCCTTTAGAGGAAACACTCCTTTTACATGTTCATACCTAATCATCTCTCAGTATTTTCTGAGAAGTACAAAGCTTTAGTTAAACACTGCTGCAGTTATCGAGCTGACACCAAGTGAAACTATTTTCTATATAGAGTGAACAATTATAAATTGTGTTACTATAAGTGTTCTTATAACAACTACAAGCATTTAGTAATCGAATTAAAAATCTTACCAATGAGTATCTGATGAAGCTGCTTGTGTGTCAAAGTTAGACTACAATCTTCTTTCTCTTGGGCAGAAGATGGCACAGCACTAAGCACATTCCAAACCTGTGACAAGCACAAGACACCTCATCAGAGCAGGATCAAAATTCTTGTGCTTTTTTATATGGCAAACACATTATGTTTACCTTACTTCTCAAACATTTCACTTACTTCTTTGACTGAAGATTTAGAATCAATTGCAGTCAATTTTTGACTAGTTAATAAGCAACTGTCATCCAAAGGAAGCATTTTGCCTCGTCGCTTCTCCGTGAGAAGATCTGTGACTGACACTTTTGGTGACTGAAGCCCTTCAGCTGGTTCAAGACCTATGTCCACAGAATTATTATAAATATAATGCTGCCTACAGGGAAGGGAGGAAAAGAGAATATGTAAATCTACAAGTTTGAGAATTCCACATTCTACATATTAAATTATCTAATACTTTTAACAAACAATAATACTTTAAGTAGGTATATTCCATGATTTAAAAAAAACCCTCAAGTTCTGAAAATGCCTTGAAAAGTCTTTTACTGTTTTATTTAGGCAAGGAATAACATCTGTTGCACATCTGTGGCAACTGCTTAGTTAAACAGGCTGCAAGTATTATGGCTACCTAAATACAAATATTGCAACACGTCTAAAATACCCCTTAAAGAACAATTAAGCTGCAAAATCAAACACTTAAAAGTTAGCAACTGGCAAGGTTACAAAGCATCCTTTAGTGGTCTGTCTCTGAACTGGGCCACTTACAGGCTAATTTGCAGAGCAATTAAATTTTTGGTCCAAGTTCAACTCCAATAAATCAATTTCACCTGCAACAAAGCTTCAAAACCTCCAGAGAACTTACACAGATGTTTTGTACCAAGTATTCAGAAAACTATTACTATATTTGATAGTAACACTGAAATTCAAATGATCACTGACATTTTTCTTTCTGTTCTTGCTGCTCATGCACTGAGTTCATTCTGCACATACATACACAGCCCAAAGTATTTACTTCTCCTTGAAACAAAGCCTTACCTAGCAGCATCTCTCTGTAAACGACGCTGTCTTAAACCAGAGATGAAGTCCAGGTAGTATTTCTTATCTGCTTCTTTTGATAGTCTTTCACGGTCAGTGTAAGAAAATTCTGGATCTATGTAATTATATCTCTCAGTCTTTGTGAAAATAGTCCTAAATGTTTAAAGAGAATTGTAGTTTTACTACATGTGTAAAACAATTCTGGGTCTTCTTCAAATGAAAACATATTGATTTTGAGATAAATCATTATTTCATTGCAAACACTCTTTTTATCACATCTGATTATTAATATTTCACCTTGCAAAGGCAGCCATAGAAATGAAATATTGCAACTGTAATACCTACATTTGTAGTTCCATGTAAGAAAAGCAACTCAAGAAATTTATGTGCAAGAGACTCGTGAATGCAATGAATTTTAAAGGACTTCCAGCCTGAAAAAATACCTAGTGAGCTGTCAGATAAGTAACTGATCTTGATCTACTACATGATATACACAAATGTGCCATCTTAAATATGAGCTGAACATAATTTTTACCTGTACTTTTTGCCCTGTTCCCCAGGCCTGATGCTGGCAGCACGGTCATTGGGAAAGGCTGTAAGTGCATCATCCTCACGGTCCCTGTTTGCCTGGTGAGCATGAATTTGTGTTTGGGCTGATTTAAGCATTGCCACAGGTGCTGTATCAGTGCTCTGCCCTCTGCCACCAGCTACAAACTGTCCAGTTGCATTGGTAATCATTGGTGTTATACCTTCAAATTCAAGTAATGGATTGATCATTATTTTAGTCATTGTTTTGTGTACATACAACTGAGCATTCCTTCGAGGAGACATTACTTTTTACAAGCAAACTAAAAATAGTAAAAAAAAAAAATCTCTTTTAAACTGTTAAAAATGCACTTTTAAAACATTTTATCACTCGTCACTTATGTTTTTAGCATCTTACCAGGATTAACTGTGAACAGAATGTTTCTTCGCTTAGGTTTGCACACACCAATAAAGGTCAAATATATTTGGTCAATGGATTTTGTCTTCAAAACATGTAAATTGTTTTTCTCTAGTCCTTTATCAATGATATCAACAATTTGCTTCACTTCAAATGTTCCTATTTGACGTGGAGAAAATGAAAACATCACATCCTGGAACAGAAAATCATTATGAGACATATGAGGCAGAAAAGCAAAGAGGCAAATTTTATGTAATTCTCTGTACAACTGAGTCACTTCTCTCCACGCTTAGCTCTAAGGCAGGTGTTAAATCCTGGACTTTTAGAATATGCTAACAGACAAACAAAAATTAGTCAAATAAAGTAATGTTGCTACACATTGGAACATGCTAAAGTCACACTTGCGTATTTCTGGGATAAACTGGTACATCTTCTGCCCTGAGTTACTGGTTTAGAAAATTATAAATGTCTCCATATTTGACTTAAAATTCAACAAAGTTTCTTCCATTGAAAGAAAAGCTATCTTACTGGAATATTTGTGATTTAGTGAAAGAAATTAACAGGATCCTGAGAATATTTGAGTATAAATCAATCTTCTCAAGCCAGTAAAATAAGAAAACTAAAGCCAGGAAAAACCTTTGGAAAGTTGCATTAGCACTACAGTTATTTTCTCCCAAATTTAATAGAACATTCGTTGCTTCCTGGAGTACAGGAAAGAAAATTAAGAGACCCTACAAAATGAGAAAATATATATTTGCCCAATATTAAATGTCATTGCTCCTGAAATTAAACTGATCTGGTTTACTTTCCAGAAATTCCACTGCTTACCCCTGTAAAATAATCTGCCTAGCTACATAATCTAAGGCAAAGAGGTATTTACCTGTGCAGATTGTGGTTTAATTTTTCCTTTTCCAGGAGAAATGTTAAAGTGAGCACTCTTGCGGAAGCTGAACGTTACTGGAAGGAACTCAGATTCATTTTTCAGTGTGCATAGAATTTGTCTCTGTTCACCCAAGTAACAGTCCATAAAATTAATAACTGGTCCCAGATTAAAAGTTAACATGACAGGAAGTCCAGAACCCATCAAAGCCAAGTCTGTGTGATGAGGATGATTCACTGCATTAGACAAACACAAAATCAAACAAACAAAACCCCTCACACACCTATTGGCTTACAAACAGAAAAGCCATGGCTGCAAAAATAAAGTGATACCATGATACAACATGATTTATAAAGCAATTTTCTATAAACTTAACCATACTAATAGCAGTCAATGTCTTCCCTCCCTAAGGAAACTGAGGATGATCAAATATGCCCTTGAAAATGCACAAAACTGGCATTACACTAGAGCTAGTGCTCTGCAAATGGCTGGGGGTGGATTTTTGTGTCCTCCAAATATCTACATTTATAATTAAGCTCTAGATGTTCACTGGTAGCAAGTGTATTCATGGCACATGAGTCCCTTCTTTCTACTCACTGTCCCAAGATGTTTTGGTGCTAAAGTATTAGAGCTGTAAGTTACAGTAATTTATTCTTATTTATATAAAGAAATAAAAAAGTCAGGTTTACCATAAAACTGCTAAGAAGATGAAAAAAACATTTTAGAAATTAGGAAAAAATCAAGATATAGAGTTCTATCACTGTGCTGGTTTGGGCTGAAATGGAGTTAATTTTCTTCACAGTGACTAGTACGGAGTATGTTTAGAGTTTGTGCAGGGCACAGGGTTGATAATGCAGAGGTGTTTTTGTTATTGCTGAGCAGAGTTTACATAGAGCCAAAGCCTTTGCTGCTTTCTGTACTGCCACACCAGCAAGGAGGTTGTGGGTGCATGGGAGATTGGGAGGAGACACAGCTGGGACAGGTGACCCAAACTGACCAAAGGGATATTCCAGACCATGGGACATCATGCTCAGTATATAAGGTGGGAGGAAGAAGGAGGAAGGGGAGGATGTTTGGAGTGATGGTGTTTGTCTTCCCAAGTCACCGTTACACGTGATGGTCCCTGCTCTCCTGGAGGTGCTGAACACCTCCTGCCCATGGGAAGCAGTGAATTAATTCCTTGTTTTGCTCTGCTTGTGTGTGCAGCTTTTGCTTTCTCTATTAAACTGTCTTTATCTCAACCCAGGAATTTTCTAGCTTTTACCCTTCTGATTCTCTCCCCAGTCCTGCTGGAGGGGCAGTGAGCAAGTGGCTGAGTGGTGTTTGGTGGCTACTGGGGTTGAACCACGACAATCATCCATATACATATTTCTGCTGGTGACAATAGATTTCTGAGAACATACTTGAGGTTGCTGTTGTACCATCACTGGGGGCCTGCAGATAACCATCTTTCTTCCCAACAGTTTCAAATCTCAGGAACAGGACATAATCTTCTCTCAGTGATGAGTCATTCACTCCAAAGCCCCTTTGCAATTTCCTGCAAGAGTCACAATCTCTAATGACAAGATGGGAGGGGAAAAAAAAACCCCAAACCTCTAAACCTCAACCCACAAAAAAAAAAAAAAAAAAATCAAGGCTTATTTTTCAGCATCCAGTCTGGTTTCTTTGCTGTCTGTTACAGCTTGAACAAATGATCTTTGTACTTCCTTTCAGAAAATGGAAAGAGTAACAAATTTAAGCTCATCAATATCTGTGTACTTATTGTAGTAGTCATTTGATACATTTTCCAGCCTACAACAGTTTTCTAAATAAGTATTACATGTATAATAACTACCTATATTTAGAGATTAAGGGAAAAACAGCAAGAGTGCTTTGCCTTTTCCTTATCCTGTTCCTTTATGCTTAGTTGGTTTTTAATGGCGTGACAGCTCTCCAGAATATGTCAATCTCTTAGTGATTAATGTCTGAAATCTTTCATAATGCTGCACATCTAGTATATATTTATTACATAAAATTGCAGTCATTACAAAGACACTTAATTTGACACTGTGTAACTGTTAACAATCTTTAGACATTCATTGTATTTAATAAGAGCAGCAGTTACTTCCCTTGGCAAGATCTAATAACATTCTTTTCTCACAAAGTGAGCTTGACCAATTCTTGATCCAAATACATCCTTAATGTATCAATAATTGGATCAATAAAATCATAGAACCACTTCAGACTTTGCTTTCCCATTTGCAGTATCATGCCAAGCAATTTCTTTTAACGCACATAAATACATAACAAGTTATTCAGAAAAAAAAAACTGCAGACACATTATCACAGAACTATTTTCTCTAACACAGCTCTTACAGAATAGTTCGGACCAATGAACCTGTGTGTGTGTCTTAATTTGTATCACTCACTCACTTTGGACTAAAGCACAAAGTAACTAAAGATTTCTCATAAGGTAGCAAAGTTCCTTGACTGGGATTGCACAAGATCAAGGTGGAAACATCTATAGCTCTGTTCTTCAGGCATAAGTCCTGTAAAGCAGCATCTGTACTCCTCTGAAGATCTGTCCCCTAAAAAATAACCAAAATGTGGAATAGCTCAGTCTGTTCTGCTTTCCCTTTTGGTTTGGTTTTTTCCTACACATACATATTTTCATGTACAAGTGGAAAGACATAACATCAGAAATAGCACTGACACAGTTACACATCACATTGCTAATGAAACAATCTTTATACATCAATTTCATGTCAATGTTTTGAATTCTCTTTTATAAAGATGATGTTCATTCGGATGATTTCACTGAGAAAAGCAAGTGAAACCACAGATGCTTAACATCTTAGAACACCAAAATGTATTTTGATAACTCCTACTAAATAACAAGCAAACGAGTAGGATTTCAAGCAATCCGCTCAAAAACCCCCAACAAAACCAAACAAACACGTCCAGGGAATGCCCTTCACATTGTTAAGGTAAAATGTTACATAGCGAAATTAAAATATTTGAAAAATTCAATTCCAAGGTGAAATTAGACTACAAAATGTGTTGGTTGGACAGAAGTTCCAGAAAGCTTATTGATCAGGAAATACTACAACACAGCCAACAATACCAAGAGATGAATGTGGAGAAATAAAAAGTGCAAAAGGAGAAATGAAAATAAGTTTTCAATTAAATGAAAACCCAAACAGTTTCTTACCATCTCTCCTCCAATGGCATTGGCTTCCAGTACTGCTACCCAGTCCATACACTCAGGACTGTCATTGTATAAAGATATTTGTTCAGTCTTTGAAGCCCCAAAGTAAACTGGTCCAAAGTTAATGCAGTTCAGTAGTTTTTCACAAGGCATTCCTAGAACTTTAAGAACCTGTTCAACCACAACAGCTTTGATCCATACTTCAGTGCATCCACAACCTTCCAGCTGTACTCTGTCAGGAAGAGCAGCAAGCAACAACAGATAATGGAGAAAAATGTTAGAAATAATCGCTTTGGCTAGTTTTGTTTGTGTTAGAATCTGTGCAAAATAAAATGAACCAAATCAGAGCATTTAAATCATTGCCTTTCCATAGATAAAGTCAGGGGGAGTGGAGAGAGGAGTGTGGACTTGGCAATGACTTACAAGGAATATTACTAATCAGGAAAAATCACACATTACATGGTGCAGTTCTGGGGAGTTTTTTAGGTTTTTTTCCCTTTTTTAATGTTTGAAAGGATAGGAATGACACCTGAAAAGAATCAGAGGTGTCCAGAGATGACACACTGCTCTTATTTCTGAGAATCTTTGCATCAAGATACCAAGTTCAGCATATAATACTTAGTTTTCTGCTAGGGAATTGGAGCTAGAAGCTCATCTGAATAAGCATAAAGGAACTGCTGCTGGTCCTCCCCAAATGCTTGATCTTGAAGATATCACAAATCACCAATGGATCATGTAGACATAGAACAATTTTTCATTACTAGAATTCTGTTGGAACAAAGCATATGTGTTCTTCATGAACAAAAGAATCAAGCTGTAATATACCTTATTCTTGTAACAGAATCAACTGTCCTTTTGAATAGCCTTTGAGATGACAAAATAAAAAGTTTCAAATACTCTTTGTTTTGAATACTCACTTGCATAACTACACAAGGGATCTGGGAGAGGATCTCAAACTCTCTAAATATCATCTTTCAGCTTTTGAAGCATGATTATAAGATACTTCAAGACAAATTTCAAAAAACTCTAAGAGTAGATTCCTCTGAGAATAATCTTGCTTGCACATAGAAGGAAAATGTTTAGGGAAGGTGGTAAATGGAAATAACCAAAGGGGTTTTCATGAAAACTGCACTATTTCTTCAAGTTAAACTCCTGTTAAATACCCATTGCAAGATTTTAAATATTACTCTGTTTATTCAAACACATACATACAAACACCTGTATACACATATTTGTGAAAGGCTGGACAAGAAAACATAACATTTCATTTAGTCTAAAGAATATAACAATAACTACTAAGAAATGCCAAATTCACTGACAGAATTAGGTAGAATTTAAAGCAGGAAATGGGTGAAGGATGAAATCTGAGCTCTGTGTAGTTACATTCTCTCAGTTTAATAGATAAATTATCTACTAGACAGCAGAAGACAGCAGCCAAGAGTAAGTGGTAAAGAAGTGGTGGCAGCCTAGACAGCAAAAAAAAGCCAAAAGCACGACATGTAGCAACCAAAAGGTTGAAATTTAATAACTAAAGAAAATATCATATGAAGGAGAATGTACCAGTAGCACAGTTAACATCTTCTCTGTCACTCTAATAGAATTTTTCACCTATCATTTCATTTCCTTTTCCCACAAACTGCCAGAAGCAAGAACAGGAAGAACTGAAGTCAACCCTAATGACTTAAAACATACCAGGAAACTTACCTCTCAACACTCCCAAAAAAATCCAACAATCCAACAAAGCAACCACACCTTATTCACACCTCATCTGAAGACATTGTGCACTCCTGGAAGAGTTCAGGGCCAGGCTGGGTGGAGCTCTGAGCAGCCTGGCCCAGTGGGAAGTCCCTGCCTATGGCAGGGGGTTGGCACTAGACAACTTTAAGGTTCCTTCCAACCCAAAACATTCTGTGATTCCATAAGGTACACATTTTAAAAAGATCTACTCTTAAAACAGTTCGCAAATACAATCTCTCCATTAAAAGCAATATACACCAAAGGGCATCATCATGTTCCTGTGACTCCTGAAACACAGAGCTAAAAGAAAACTATCAGTTACAGAAGCTAATAAAAGTAAGGAATACAGGATGTGTAGAAAGGTGAAAGATATAGAAGCTCTTGGCTAGTTTTATTATGAGAGATGTGCAAACATCCCATATCACTATGACTTAAGAGAGATCTTTATTAACACCACCAGGTACACAATTTATTCAGCACTGTTCTGTGGAGATAATCATCAAATTAATGTAATAGAAATAAATGTGTAAGACAGAGACTGACAGGAGCTAAACTTAGACAAATAATCATAATAAAGACTAGAATTAATAACAGACAAAAATGTAATTTATAGAGCTGGATTTCTTCAGTTTCACTCACTTTATTGCTTCTTGGATGATTCTGGGTACATCTGTGCAGATATCCACATTAACCATCTTTACAGATTTTGGCTCAACCACTCCACTGGTAGGTTTTATGTTAAGCAGGACAACTCCATCATATGATATTTTAAATTTACCTAAAAAAAAACCCCAGAGTAACAAACAGAATGGTACACAATACAAAGTTGTAGATGTATATCTTTCTATTACACACTTGAAATTACACAGCATGTAATACTGACGTTGACAAGCAGCACATTTTCCTATGAAAACAGAAAACATGGAGTTAACCTTTTCCAAAACTATTTCCAACACGGAGTAGACCATTATTTCCAGGCTGTCCAGTGGGAAAGCCAGAGAAATGGATTGTTTGGACCATATAAACATTCTTTATGTTTCCTACTTTCCTTGCCAGGGTCCCTCACAGAAGCTGAAGGATGTGCACGTTGTAAAAGCTGTATGATTTCAAAAGCTATGGCAGAAAGCTAAAAGATCTATTATCTTCTAGCAATGAATACAGCTCTATTCCCATCCTAGAGGACTTCAGCTCGTAGGTGTTTAACACACAGCCCTGGGGATCACAGAAGCACAGACAACAAAGCAGACACAGATGTGACTTGCTGCTGCTTATGTTGGACATGCTAAGCCAATAAGCAACTATTATTTTTACGTCTTTCAAGATGGGACTCAAAAGTAGACAACCCATAAAATTTGCAAAGCTCTAAATTAGTTTTTCTTCCCTAAGTGGAAACCTAGTACTACCTATAGAAGCAATGGGACATGTGTAACACCTTCAGCTACAATACTGATAATCTGCATAACCCAGAACTTCACCCAATTTTGACTTGGTCACTGAAGTGTTAACCTGCATAAAATTACGTTTTCCAAGAAAATGAAATATTTTGATGATTTAAGGCATATTAAACATTTACCTGAACATGATCCATGGTTAGCAATACTAAACTCTTTACTAATTATTTTACTGTCTGCAACCACTTCACCAAAATTAACCTCTGACTCAGTTTCCAGACAACAGTGTGGAACTGATCTGCAGAGAAAAGACAAGGTTATATTTCCCAAAATTTGAAAATACCTTTACACTTTTAAAGAAATTTATTAAGTGGAAGACAGCTCTCTTTTTGCCCTGAACTTTGTTCTAAAACATGCACCTTATTTTTAGAATTAGGCAACATAGATTCCATATAATCCAGTTTTGCAAACATGAACAATTACTGCAAAATCTTTTATATAAGTGATTCCATAGGAAGGGAAGAGATTAAGAGTAGATGTTAACTTGTTTAATGATAGAGAATTAAAAGGCATCAACATTATCACAACCAATGTAGAATAAAGCAAAAAGAAAATTCCAGACTTTCTATGATATTAGAGGGACATCAGCCCAAAGAACTTCTTACCCATGTGCTGCTCTGAACAAAAGAAATTTACTTTTGTAAAGAAACTTACTATTTGTTTTCCATGCAATTGGCAGTCTAAATACAAGCCATGTCTGACATGTTTAGCAAACTTTCCACAAGATTAAACTGCAAATACACTTTCCACAAGATTAAACTGCAAATCCTAACAGCAGCACATGAACTTTTGAATATCATACCCAGACAGGGGAATATCAACTGCATCATCTTCTACTAAAAGAAGTAGTTTATCCTGAAGATCTTCTTCACTCTCAGGATGATATTCCACAAAAGCTGTAAGTTGAAGTCCAGATGCAATGGGTTTTTCTGGATTTTCCACAATCAATTTAAACTGCAATTAAAACCAAAAATTAATAATTTTTACATTGTTGCACATTTCTAGATTAAGAAGGGTATACACGAGGTTCATTTTCAGAAGAATATGCAGATAGACTTAAAATTTGCCACCAACTTTATAATATGCAGGATTTTATAATTTAATCTCCCTATTTACTGAAGTTCAGACTTTTTACAGTAAAAAAGAAACACAGAATGAACTTGCAAAATTTTCTAGGCTTTCCAAGCTCTTCCCAGTGTCACAATAAACCTTCCCAAACAACACAAAATTAAGTCATCTACTACTCAGTGAAGATTTTTAGTACCTAAGAAAATAACAAGGATTAAGTCTCAGTTCAAAGCAAAAAGGAGAC